TTATTTGTCTCTTCCTGTTCTGAAGTTCCAATTACACATGGGTTATTCCTTATGATGGTATCCCACATGAACCTTAGGCTTTCTTCATTTTGCTTTGATCTTTTTTTCTGATTGATCCCTTTCCAAAGAATTATTCAGTTATTTGCTTTCAGTCTCACTAATTCTGTCTTCCATTGATTCAGTTCTGCTCCTTTGGCCATTCAGTGTCTTATCTATTTCTGAAAATTTAGCATTTATCTTCTGGATTTCTGTGTATAGATTTTCTATCATTTCTAATTTTTCATTTATTTTGTCATTTTGTTCTTGTATTGTCTTTTGAAATTGTTCTAGGGTTTTCTCTGTGTTTTCCTTAATCTGTCTCTCAATTCATTGAAGATACCTAAATATAATTATTTTGAATTCCTTATCAGGGAGTTCCAATGCTGTGTCTTCCTTGGTAATGTGTTTTGGGTCTATATACTGGTCCCATGTTTCTCCTGCTTTATCTTGCTTTTTTGTGTGGACTGTGATGCTCTGTTGTCTCCGAGGCATTGTGAGGTTTTGTGTTTGTATTTAATTGGTGACTGTATGTTGGAGTGACTTGCCCACAATTTTTGTTTTCTTTGTTTTGTTTGTATGTTATCTACGCAAGCAGGGTACTGTGCTCTTCTGTTCGCCAGTTGACAGCACTTATACACACACCACCTCTCTCCTTTCCTGTTTGCTAGCCTTTCATATGTCCCTGCTGACCTTGGCAAACAGAGACAATTCTTAGGTCCTTGGAATCCAAATGAGAATGCTATCACTTTAAAATCCGAAATGGTTGCCACATGTAAAGATTGAAAATGGCTGCACCTTCAGTCACTTTAAATATCCAAAATGGCCACTGCTTGTAAACATTCAAAATGGCTGTGCCCTTGGTCACTTTATCCAAAATGGCTGCCACATGTAAACAGTCAAAATGGCTGCGCCTCCGGATAGTGGAAAGCAAACAGCTCAGGTTGTCTTCCTCCTTGCTGTTTCCCTTCCTAATCAAAGGACCAGTTGTCCCTGCAGCCCTTGGTGACCAGGGCTGATCTTTCAGTCAATTCTCAGGTCCCAACACCACTTGGAAATCAGGCTGTTGGTCCTGTCAGAGTAGCTGACCATCTCTGTACTCAATGTTTTCATTCAGGTTTTTCCACTAGTTGGTGTCTAATCTACTTCTTTCAAAGCTCAGGGCTCCAGGATTATCTTCTGTATCTCTGTCAATTGTTTTTTCTTTTCTTTGTTAAAGAGGGTCTGTGTTGCTTGTCTGCCTATTCCTCCGTCTTACCAGAAGTCCCCTAAAAGTTTTTTTTGATAAGGGAAGATGTAAGAGTTAGACCCAGTTTTCTTGTACATGTGTACCTGAAATTTTATTTATGCCATTGGTTATCTGCTATCTTGGTATTTCCAGGCAAGGGCCATGAACAGTTACTCTAGTTAGAAGCACTGAGACATGATGAAAATCATGATGTTATATTATTTAATATTCTCTGGTATTATTTTTATGATTATATAGTGGTTCGTTGTATATAAATAGACTGTCACTAAACCAGTCTGTTATAATAAGCCATTTTAGATTAGTCTAGGTTTCTTTTCACCCTGACCTTCTCTCTATAGCTAAATCTGCATAATTATCCATGTTATTTACTCAGGTTAGGTTCCTAGAAGCTAATTGCTAGGTCAAAGTGTGTGCACATTTTTAACATTTTTAATATTGCCAAACTATAGGCAGGTGATTTGGTGGTTAATTCTCTCAGTACTTGACTGACCCAAATACCTTTTGTTATGTTCACCAAGCCTCACGTCATTTCTTTGTCTTAAGGAACCATATGTGAGGAGCCCTAGTAGCACAGTGGCTAAGTGCTCACTTGTTAACAGAAAAGTTGGCAGTTTGAACCCAATGGCCACTCCATGGGAGAAAGATATGGCAGACTGCTTTCATAAAGATCACAGCCTTGGAAACCCTATGGAGCTGTTCTCTGCCCTATAGAGTCACTATGAGTAGGAATCAACTCGAAGACAAGGGATTTTTTGGGTTTTATACCACTCCTACCTCCTTTCCTCCATAGTGCCTCTCCTGTCCCACCCCAAAATGCATACCTAATTAAGCAGTCTGGTTATAATACTGTTAAATACTGTGCAACTCTTTCTTTAGAATCATTGACAAAAAGATTACATAGCATTGAGGTTAAACCCAATGCATGACTCAAATCAAAAGCAAACCCACTGCTATGAAGTCCATTCCAACTCATAGTGACCCCCATTGGGTTTCCGAGGAGGTAAGTCTTTATGAAAGTAGACTGCCCCCATCTTCCTTCCACAGAGCAGCTGGTGGGTTTGATCTGCCAGCCTTCTGGTTACCAGTCAAATGCCTTAAGCAGTGTGCCACCAGAGGTCCTTAATGTAGGACTAGGATTTGGTTTTCAACCCCATCTTCCTCAACTTCTCCCAGAGGACTCACTTCCCCATACTCATTATTTATCACCAAGTAAAGTAGAACGTATAAACAGTTTTAGCTTCTCAGAAATAGTGAAAACAACTGTTTAGGTTCACACTATCCCTGTCATGCATACACCCACCAACCTCCATGCCTCAGCCACTGTCCCTGCACCCCCAGCTATTGTCAGTTATACTTGTTTGATCCCAATTCTAATTATAAACCTTGAACTAGTCCCATAGGTTCTCTTTATCCCCACAGACACATCTCTGAACATCCAGTAGCTGAGCATCATGACATGAGGCCAAAGCCTTAGACCCAGCCAGCTTCATTCTCCTGTGTGAAGTTGCAATATCAAAAAAAAAAAAAAAAAAAACCACAGTTGACTCTCTTTCAGCCACATTAAGTCCTGAATGGGAGACATTATGGTTCAGTGCAGGCCCATTGCCATACCCAAAGAAGCAACTCATAGAGGGATCACTACTTCATTTTTGTAGAAAGCACAGAATTATTTTGCTCAATAATGTTTCTAATAGAAAAAAGTCAGTATCTTTTTGTCTGTATTTGGCTTTATCATCCTGTGCCTCAGACAGTGAGCCACCTACCAAAACTAAAGTGACTTTTTTTTTCTCCTAAATTTTATTTATTTTGTTATCGTTGAGATATACACAGCAAAACATACACCAACTCACCAGTTTCTTCATGTAGTTTAGTGACATTTATTACATTCTTCTAATTGTGCAACCATTCTCACCTTCCTTTTCTGAATTGTCCTTCCTTTGTTAACATAAATTCACTGCTCCCTAAAGTTCCTATCTAACCTTTCAAGTTAACTGTTGTCAATTTGATCCCATATAGATAGATCTTAAAAGAGCATATAATGCTCAAGCCAGACATTGTTTACTAGTTAAGCTAAACTATGGTTTCTTTTTAACAAGACTTTAGAGGATATTTTTGGTTTTAAGATTTAAAGATTTTCTCAGGGCAGTAGTTTCAGGAGTTCATTCGTATACTTTCCATGGCTCCAGAAAGTATAGACTCCATGAAAATTTGAAATTCTTTTGTACATTTCCCCCCTTTTGATCAGAATTCACCTATGGAATCCTTGATGAAAATGCTCAGTAATGGTAGCCAGGTACCATCCCATTCTTCTGGTCTCATGGCAAAGAAGGTAGTTGTTCCTGGAGGCAATTAGCCCCACAATCCATATCCTCCTTCCTATTCCAGATTCTCCTTCCTCTGCTGCCCCAGGTAAATAGAGTGACTTTGTATAACTTCTCAAATCAACAGCTGTTGCTTCCAAGTCTGTCCTAACTGTTATTCCAAAGTTAACATGTCATTACACAGAAGTCCAGAACCACTGTGGGTTGCCCTTGCACGTGCAGAGGCACTCAAGGATTGTTCTCTGTCCCTGCAGGTGATAAATTGGGAGAGTACACTCCACATCCCTGCCCAGGTCAAGCTGAGCCCTGAGGCCCGGGACCTCATCACCAGGCTGTGCTGTGCTGCCGACAGCCGGCTGGGAAGGGCTGGGGCCGATGAGCTCAAGGCCCACCCATTCTTCAGTGCCATCGACTTCTCCAGCGACATCCGGAAGCAGCCCGCACCCTACGTGCCCAAGATCAGCCATCCCATGGACACCTCCAACTTTGACCCCGTGGATGAGGAAAGCCCATGGGACGAGGCCAGCGAAGACAGCACCAAGGCATGGGACACGCTCACCTCCGCCAACAGCAAACACCCTGAGCACGCCTTCTATGAGTTCACCTTCCGAAGGTTCTTTGATGACAATGGCTACCCCTTCCGATGCCCCAAACCTTCGGAAGCAGAAGCCACTCAGTCTGAGAGCACAGATGGAGAAAACACAGGTGTTGGGGACCAGACTGAGGGCTGCCAGCCTGTGTACGTGTAGATGCTCTGCATTCCCCAGAAGCCGCTTCCTCGCGGGCCCACCTGGAACATGCCTGCTGGGAAGGCTGTTAGTCTGTTGATGCTCCAGGTGAATTCTGGTTTTCAACAGCAAAGAACCAACCAAACCAAAACTTAACAACACTCAAGTCTAGCAGATCTTTGTAGGTCCAATTGAGGAGGGTCAACATTACCTTTGATTTGGCTTTTGAGGACCTTCACCACATTAAAACAGTATTTTCTGAAATTTAATACAGTTTAAAAGAGCACTTATTTTGTTTATATCCATTCTTTCTTACTAAATAATAGGGATTAACTTCGACAAATCATGCTGCTGTTACCTTCTATGTTTGTATTTTATCCACAGCACTTATTCACATTTAGGCAAAGACATGAAAACTGAAGAACGTGTGATGAGAGACTCTCTGTGCAATAATTTAAAAAAAAAAAAAAAATGACACTCTGCTGCGATGTTATGGATACCATTTTATCCACAGGATGGTTTTTATTTTATACTTTTACCCACATTTCAAAATGGTGATAGAATGTTAAAGGCTGCTTTTCGTCTTATTTTTGCATATGCTAGTACAGTAGAAAGTGTGTGCAAGGTGACGGTCTGGCTGGGAATTCAGGCGTCTGGTGTGTGGAGAATGCTGCACGAGCAGGGTTTTTCTATTTTAAAAGTACCATATCTTGCCATTCACAGCAGGTCCTGTGAATACGTTTTTACCGAGCATCTGTAAATGAGGTGTTCTAGACAGTGTGTTGGTGATGTGTTGTGTGGGTGATTGCCTTGCCGTGATTGTATCCCTTCTTGTTTTGTTAAACAATGCAGATGTGTAACTGAGGAGCGACTGCGCGTGTGTATCTTGAGGTGTGATTGGATTCTTTGGAGAGTAAACTTCAACCATCACATACTAAAGTTGTCTACATTGAAAGGGATTCATTTAGCAATGCCAAAAATGTCTAAGCTAATTATGAAACTATGTCCATTTCTCTAGTCAGTATACTCTCCATTCTTGGCATAGTGAACTTGTAGAATTAAGTAGCTATGCCTGTTACCACATCCTTTTTGCACCAGCAGACTGACCCACACTGAAAGGCTTACATCAAAGCTGTCCTCCTGTTGTCTTAACCAGCTGAAGTATTACCACAGTGAGATTCAGTAATCTATGTTTCCTTCACATTATTTTTTGGTGTGCCTTGAAGTATCAGATCATAACATGTTTTTTGTTCTTTTGGAAAAAAAAAAAAATTTCCAGTCTTTGTAAAAAAGTGAGGGTTATTCCAAGTGACATTGGACTATGGATGTGATTAAGCCATACGTATTTTCTTAGAAGTATAGGTGTATATATAACTACATAGATAAACACACAAGATATTCCTTATTTCAAATTAGTATGAATTCTATTTAAAGTGATTTATATTTGAGTAAAAAGTTCAATTCTTTCTTGCTTTTTTAAAAAATCTGATGCATCATATTTTTCATTATATTATTCCACATATTTTTCCTTGAAGTGTTTTTGCATAATGTATCCATTATTTAGTATATATCTAGGCAACAACACTTATAAATTTATCCATGTCTAAACTAAAAAAAATAAAATGATTCCTGTGTACTTGTTTACATTTGTATGAGTGGCATATTCTGAAGTCTGCTGTGCTTGTATTGTGACTGTCAGTATTTTTGCTATTTTATAGTAACGCCATTTTGTTATTTACAGCGCTCTGACATACTTTCATGTGGTAGGTTCTTTCTCAGGAACTCAATTTAACTATTATTTATTGATATATCATTGCCTTTGAAAAGCTTCTGTTGGCACAATTTATTATTAAAATTTTGAATCCAAATACTTTTGTTGGTGTCATGTTTTGTTGGGATGCTTGTAGGTTCTTGCTTGTATGGCATGTGAAAATGCCCACCAGCTTTCCAGTGATTCGCTATAGCCAGGGTTGTGAACAACTGAAGAGTAGAGGAGACTCGGAAGGGGGTTAGTGCAGGAGATGGTGGATAGAGTGGGAGAACAATGTGGAACAAAACTCGAAATCACAAACAAGATCTGGCTTTCTGGTCTGATAGAGCCTGGTGAGACCTCTGAGACTATGGCCCATAGTCAGCCTTCAGGCCTGGAATTGAACTTGGCTTCCAGGCAAACAACAGGCATATAGGGTACACATTTACACCAGGTAGATACACTCTTGAGAACGATCAATTGTGAGAGAACAGAAGGGCAGTATTTGCACAGGGAGATAGCTCCGAAGACAGGAATGCATAGGAAAGAAGGACACAGGGAAAAGGTAACCACAGGGAGGAAGTGGGAAGAGAGCTGTTACATTATGTGGTTTGCAATCAATGTCATGAAACAAAATGTGTATGAACTGTTGTATGGGAAATGAATTTGCTCTGTAAACTTTCACCCAAATCACGATTTTTAAAAAGAGGTAAGAGGAGAAAGGGGAATCATCTTCTCAGATAGGATTCTGTCTTAAGAAGGCCGTGGGAGTGTGAGAAAAACACGCCTTCCTTTCAGACAAAAGTCCAAATCATGCTGTGGTTCTCTCCCTCAGCCTTTCTTAACATAAAATGAATGGAGACAAAACACCTCGTTCATGTTGAATGGATTAAATAGGCTATTGCATATGTACCCCACTGCCACAGCAACCTTATAGGACAGAGTAGAATTGCCCCCACAGGGTTTCTAAGACTTGATCTTTAAGGAAGCAACACTCAAACCAGACCCAAGACCAGCAAGTTAATTCTAACTCACAGCCCCTAGAGGACAGAGTAGAACTGCCCCATAGTGTTTCCAAGGCTATAAATCTTTTACAGAAGCAGGCTGCCTCGTCTTCCTCCTGCAGAGCAGCTGGTGGGTTTGAACAATTGACCTTCTGGTTAGCAGTCAAATGTCTTAACCACTGCACCATCAGAGCTCCTTTTTCACATATACGTAGTGAATGGGGAAATGCATCATAAATCTGATTTCCTTCCAGAAATCAGTTAAGAAAGTTAAACTGAGAAGATGAGTGCAGTGTTCCAACCTTTGCCTTAAAATGGGTGGTGGCATTAAGAAATTTGGTTAAAAAAAAAAAAAAAAATCTTGTTTTACTGTGGGTTACTTTTTTATATAGCTGTAGGCACATGATTTAAAAGTGAAAACATATACAGGGATATACAACCAGTCCTTGGGCTACACACGTCTTACTTACAGGCAGCTCCTACTTGCCCTTCAGTGCAGAGCTTCAAACTGATTGTCATGGCTGATGGAGTGAAGCAAGAACAGACACCTATTACTACAAATTGGGTGATTTGTCATGGTAACTGCGCTGGAAAAAACCATGGCTTGGAGCCCCGGAAAAGGAGAAGCCCTGAAATGGGAGACTCGAATGAGGTGTAGCGAGCCCTTTCAGGAGCCTGATACATGAGATTGGAGCATTAGCAGCACTGGGGGGAGCGACACACATTCAAAGTGGCACTGTCGGCCACCATCTTTGAGCTTCCTTAGCCATGACTGAACCAGGAAGAACCAATTTGAAGCCCTGCTTTGAAATGACTGAACTAAACCCTAATTGCAACAAATTCTTCATCACAATCACCTTCACCTGCTGCACATGCAGCTTTTAAATCATTGAAAAGGCTTTAAGCCTTTTCTTGCACTAACCAGAAAAACCAAACCCACTGCCATCAAGTCAATTCCGACTCACAGGCTCCATAGGACAGAGTAGAACTGCCCCATAGGGTTTCTTGCAGGTAAGACCACCAGATACGACTGCTATTTGGACACCAGTTGAGTTAATATTATTTTGAAGCAGAGATGGGAAGCAGACTGACCCATCTCTTCCACTAGCAACTGGTAGGTTCGAACCATGGACCTTTTGTTTAGGAGCCAAGTGCCTTAACCACTGAACCACCAGAGCTCCTTTCTTGTGATAAAGTAAGGCTAAATAAAACTATGCACCTGTGCTTATGCACTTACAAATTCCACTTAAAGACACAGGAACTGAACTTGTTTGTAACCAGGGAAGCACATATATCAAAAAAGTCTCCTATCCCATTTCTCAATATTCATCTCCCCATAGTCAACAAATGATAATGGTTTATCATGTGTCTTTACAGAAATGAGAGTCTGAATACACAGTGTAAATGTACTGTATTTTCACACGAAACACATAGTGGTCATACGAAATGACATTCACACACATAGCGTTCATAGAAAACTAACCTATGAGGGGTTTGCAGGGTTTGCAAAAAACATTTGTGTAAAAATACATGGTATGTACATAATTATTTTTCCTCTTATACGAATGAGAGAATATTGTTTTCTATATGTTTTCCTCACTTAACCTTGGCTATCTATCAGCACATCAAGAAATTCTTCATTCTTTATTTCTGCACAGTTTCTATTGTGAGGGTGTCTCATAGTCCGTATATCAATACATTTCCGTGGTTTATGATTTTTTGCTATTATAAACAACATTGGAATAAATGACCTCCGCAACATCATTTTGTGCATTAGCAAGTAAATATGCAGGATAGATTTTCTAGAGGTGGAACTACTAGGTCAGAAGGTAAGGATTTGTAATTTTTATAAACAGTACCAAGTTGCCCTGCACAGATGGTGGGAGACACTCCTCCATGGTTCTCCCCTACACATTTTGCAAGGTATGCCAAGAATTCAGGCCCTGACCACTTGACCCAGGTCATTTCTCAGTTAGGTTTGCAGAGAACAACCCTGAGTGATGACAGATGTTTCCTGGGTCCCTGGACAAAGAACAAGCATCCTTACTGCTTGCTACCAAACAGGTCACTTTCCTCCAAGCTAGTGTTCCTCAGTTGTACCAGAAACCCACTGTATGTGCAGCAAGCATCTGGGCCTTTTATGCTGTCTTCTCTGCACTTGAGGGCAAAAGGAACAGATGCAAACATTCTAATGCTTATTTGATTGCTGTGCTGTAGTAAAGCCTTGTTTCTGATCCAAGAGTTTCTTGTCTTTCAACATTCATGAA